CTGTGGAACTCCATAATTAACCTCAGTGTGTGAAGAGGACTCTCCATTTACATGCACAAACTGGAGTCTATTAGATAGATATGATACAAACCACTGTCCACCTGTTTGCAGTCAGACAGCATTAATTCCTATACAGTTGTGTTTATGAGTTAAAGTATAAACAAACAATGATGATAAATGATAAACATGGAACACAATCCACTGCAGCATTATAATACAACATTTCAGCTTACCTGAGGCTCTGTAGTGTACAGTGAGGAGTCTCCAGTATTGCAGAGAGCAACTTCAGACCCAATCCCTGCAAATTGTTGTTACTCAAGTCCAGTTCTCTCAGATTGGAGGACTGGGAACTGAGAACTGAAGACAAAGCTTCACAGCTTCTCTCTGACAGATTACAGCCACTCAATCTGTAGAGGAAATAGTGATGCTGTTTATATGCTATAAAAAACTACTGTAGTAATTATAAAATGAATAATTATATTATTGTTTGAACAAATTTCCTCATGAGATATAATGACAATTAGTTTTACATAATTTAAATAATTTAACAAAAACTAGCACCTGTGATGCCATTGCAATATCTGGTTATCTGTGCACCTACAGAGCTTTGGTGGAGGCTTTGACCACTGGCAAAAGCCTCAAAAAAGCTTCTTCTGAAGCAGAAGCAGAATATTTCTTCAGGTCAAAAACATGCAGATGTTCTTCTGATGACAGTAAGATGAAAACCAAAGCTGACCACTGAGCTGGAGAAAGTTCATATGTGGAGAGGCTTCCTGAACTTAGATACTGTTGGATTTCCTCTATTAAAGAACGATCATTTAGTTCATTCAGGCAGTGGAGAAGATTAATGTTTCTCTCTGGAGACAGATTCTCACTGAGCTTCTCCTTGATGTATTGGATTGTTTTCTGGTTGGTTTTTGACCGACAGTCTGTTTTTTTCAGTAGGCTCTGTAGTTTATCCTGATTGGTCTGCAGTGAAAGACCCAAGAGGAAGCGAAGGAACAAGTCCAGATGTCCGTTTGGACTCTGTAAGGCCCTGTCAATGGAAATCCTGTGGATCTTCTTTGAAGATGTTTTACTTAAAAGCAGTTGAAGATTGCGCATTGAGGGCTGTGGTAAAGGCATCACATTTATGTTACTGTTATTAAGCGACATCCTCACATAAAGAGCAGCCAGAAACTCCAGAACGCTCAAATGGACGAAGCTGAACATCTTGTCTTTCCCTTTCCTTCCTCGATCTTCTTTGAAGATCTCTGTGAACACTCCTGAGCACACCGAGGCTTCGCTGAAATCAATGCCGCTCTGTCTCAGATCCTTCTCATAGAAGATCAGGTTGCCCTTTTCCAGCTGCTCAAAGGCCAGTTTTGCTAATGACTTAATGTATTGAATGCTCTTCTCTGGGCCATACTTTTCTTTTGTCCGATCAATCTGAAACACCAGGAACTCTGCGTACATCTCAGTCAGAGTCTTGGGCAGCTCTCCTCCCTCTCTGGTTTTCAACACATCCTCCAGAACTGTTGCAGTGATCCAGCAGAAGACTGGGATGTGGCACATGATGTGGAGGCTTCGTGATGTCACGATATGGGAGATGAGTTTGTCAGCCTCCTCCTTACCTTTGAATCTCTTCCTGAAGTACTCCTCTTTCTGTGGGTCGGTGAACCCCCTGACCTCTGTTGTACTGCTGATAAACTCTCGAGGGATCTGATTGGCCGCTGCAGGCCGTGTGGTTACCCAGATGCGAGCAGAGCGTAGCAGTTTCCCATTGATGAGTTTCCTCAGCAGGACATCTGTTTTAGTTGCCTTTGTTACATCGACAGAGCGAATGGCTTCAGAATGAAGGTCGAGATGAAGGCGGCTCTCATCCAGCCCATCAAACACAAACAGAAGTTTGAATTTACTCTTGTCATAGTTGGTGATTCCTGATGACTGAACATCTGTAAAGATGTAATTAAGAGCCTCCTGTGGGATGCCTACAGTTTCTGGGATGCATTCATGAATGAGCTCTGCCAAACTGAACTTTTCTCCCTTCAGAGGATTCAGCTGACGGAAGGTGAAGGGGAAAATCAGATGCACATCTTGATTGGATCTTTGTTCAGCCCAGTCCAAAACAAACTTCTGGACAAGGAAAGTTTTTCCAATTCCTGCGATTCCATTGGTCATCACTGTTTTGATGGGTCTGTAGTCTCCTGAAGGATGTTTGAACATGTCTGTGGGTCTAATAGGTTTCTCTGGCTCTGCTGGCTTCCATACTTTCTCAATCTGCCGGACCTCATGCTGTGTGTTGATATGTACATCATACCCAGCTGTGATGTACAGCTCTGTGTAGATATCAACCAGACGCTGTTTATCTTCTGTCCAACCTTCTTGGGTGCACATAAACTTGTCCTGGAAGTTTGATTGAAGTATTTGCTGGAAAAACTTGATGGGGCGAGGCTCTGGTACTGGAACCACCACATCTGTATCAAACATGAGGGGAAAAATACAAAGTGTGCTGTGTATATTTCACGAATACCCATGTTGTTGTTGGAAGCAGTAAACAAAAAGTTCCATAAAGTTAAACTTTCATTGTTCAGAGGAAGATCAATAATACAACAGCACTGGTAAAAATTAAAAAAAAAATGTTAAGCCAGAGTTAAAATGTCCTCAGGTTACTGAATTTAGTGAATCCCTGGCCCTGGATCCAGCCCTCTGGATGAAACTACTTGCTAGGTGTAAGGAACCTATGTTGTCACACAGCAAGCAGGTAATGCTCATTATGAGGTGGCCTCACTTCCTTGTGACAATTAAAGCCCACGCAGCAGATGTTGCTGCATTGCAACAGCAGTTTACTTGTGTATTCTCCCCTCTGCCCTCTGACCATCCTCATAAAATACTTCTGTGATCTCAGAAGGACCTGACACAACTCCGTAACTGTGGTTTGTGTTTTTTTATTGTTATCACACAATCTGCTTTATGTCACCTTTTGGGACCTTCCAGTGCACGCTGCCCTGGCTCCAGTGCTCTCCTCCAGCAGCAGCCTCCTCTCCAGGCCTGGCTGCTACTGAAATAGGGAATGCAAAATGCTCACTGGCTGTGCAAAACCAGCCTCCCTGACACCAAACCATGAACCTGCTGCTCCACTCCTCCCCTGCAGCTGAGCCACCAACCACACAGTGCCACCCCCCCACCGTCCAATTTGTGCCGGGGAGCCATCTGGCCTAGCCGGTCTTGAGACGCGGAAAGGATGCAATAGCTGCTGTTTTATCCATCTGTGGCTGCACATGCTCACAACCCAATTGGTACCCCAGAAACTATACGTCCCTCCGTCCAACCACACACTTTTTTGGGTTGGCCATGAACCCCGCCTGCCTCAGACACTCCAGGACCACTACCACCCGCTGCATATGCTCTGCCCAAGTGTCACTATTGATGATGATGTCTTCCAGGTCGGCTGCAGCATATGCAGCATAAGGACGCAGCAACCGGTCTCTGAGACGCTGGAAGGTGGCAGGGGCTCCGAACAAGCCGAACATTAGTGTAATGAACTGGTACAAACCGTAAAGAGTAGAGAAGGCCCTTTTTTACTTTGACTCTGCAGACCAGGCAATCTGCCAGTAGCCCTCGGTTAAATCCAGCATCGGCATGGGATAAGCATCAAGCTGTGACACCTCATTCACCTTGCGATAGTCTATGCAGAACCATATAGATCCATCTTTCTTCACTACCAGAACTATGGGGCTACACCAAGCGATGTGTGACTCTTCTATTACTCCCAGCTTCAAAACCTCCGTCAATTCCCTTTGCATGATTTGTCTTCTGTGCTCCAGTAACCTGTAGGGTCGTGAACAGACCATCAAGCCAGGCCGCTTGTCAAATTGATGCACAATAACAGTCATACAGCTGGGTAAGGGGGAGAACACATTTGCAAAATGCTGTTGCAATGCAGCAACATCCACAACATCCACATCCACACCTGTGTGCAATGGTCATCACAAATGAAGGGAGGCAGGAATGGTGGAATCTGGAGTCCAACCAACGATCCCAGTTGCGTTCATCTTCGTGAACGAACTTCCGAATCATGGACATTAAGGTCTTATTCAGCCGCTCCACCAGCCCATCATACTGAGGGTGGTAGGCTTAATGCCCTACAATTCGTAAAGCTAAACATCTATGAAGTTCTTTGGTCAGTCAGTATCTTTTTCAGGATACCGACTCAAGAGATGACCTGAAATAGCACCTGTGCCACACTTAGCAGAAATGGTGTGCAGTGGCACTGTTTGTGGATATTGCCTTGCAAATCCACCAGAACTAACACAAAGCGATAGCCGTGTGAAATGGCCCGATGACGTCCATGCCAATGCGCTCGAACAGGACCTCCATTAATGGTAATGAGTGTACCTGGAGCCGATGGGGTCTCCCGAGAAGGCCCCACTGACTCCTCCGCTGAGCACCACACAGACCTCGCATGTCCCTACCGGCCGCAATTGCATACTGACACACAGTCCAATTAATTTACCGAACCTGGGCCAATCCGTCCGCAAAATTAAGGGGTGCGTCATCCTGCCTGTCACACAGCTTACCATGGCAGGATATTTAAAAGTAAAATGGGAGGCGGACTCTTCAGCTTTCATGCCTCTCTTCGGTGTTGGGTGCTCTCCACTGACTGTGCCAGAATAAAATACGAATAGTAGACAGCAGGAATAAATAACAAACAAGAGAAAGCCACACACTGGAGAACAAATGCTTGGAAGTAGTGCAAAGAAAAGACTCTAGAGTTGGGATTGTTGGGGTGGTGGGTGGAGGATAGTGTTTGTTAGCAGTCTGACTGGCCCAGGGGAAGAAGCTGTTGGTGAGTCTGGAGGTATGGGACCTGACTGGCCTGAGAGGGCAGCGGGTCAAATAGGTGGTGGGTGGGGCTCGCCTGTGATGCCCCTGGTTTTCCTGAGACAGGAGGATCTGGAGATGGCCTCCAGGGGTGGCAGAGGGCAGCCAGTAAGTTATTTGGGAGTTGTTAATGACCCCTGTGCAGCCTTCCTGTTTTCAGTTGTGGCCCCTGAGTACCAAACACGAGGCAGGAGGAGAGCACACTCTCCACTGAGGAGGAGTAGAAGCTTCACACAGGGTAGCTGTGTGAGAATGCTGCTTTATGATTACAGTTCAGCGTTTAACACAATAGTGCCCTGCAGACTGTTCACAAAGCT